AACCACATAGCAGTGCAATCTATAATTAGTGTATCATGAAGAACAAATTAGTCACATAAACAGGATAGATGCAACACAAAACAAAAAGGCATTTTATCTTCAAAAACAAGTTAACACCTTCAAGGAAGAAGCAGAGAAACTTAACAAAGGAAAACAATTTCCCTAGCAAGAAGGCTCACCACCGAAAGCAAAACTCTAAAAGACCAGGTTCTGGATGTTGTACTTTTTTGTCCTTTGTCTATGCTGGGGATTATCAAGTAACGGGCAAGCATTGGCAAATATAGTAGAGTTTACAATTTCAACCACATTGGCACAATATACGAAAATCAGAGGAAGGAATGTCACAGTGAAATTAGAGATTTAGAGCAGCTTGTCCATTAGTTGTCTAAGAAATAGCTTGTGTGGAATGAAAAATGAACAAATGCACAGGAGAACAAAAGAGTTGGAGCGCTTTATGGTCATTTTCTCACAAACGCATGGTTGTTGATTTGAAATCGGAGAAAGACATTTTTTCTTAAGCAAAAGTATTAAGGGATACAGACTAAAGGCAGGTATATATGGAGTTAGGCCACAGATCACCCATAGTCTCACTGAATGGTATAACAAGCTCAAGGGGCTGAATGGCCTATTCCTGTTCCTATGCTCAGTATACTGGAAAAGGGGACTGAGAATGAAAGTAAATTTCATTCAAACTCCCCAGCTGCACCACTGACCTTTCAACAACCAATAGGAGAACAATAATCCATAAATCTGCCAGCAGACCTGACAAGCACTTTGATCAAGGAGAATATTTCTCTGTCAGATATATTCAAATTGTACTTCCGATCATGCATGCAAATAACATAACTTTTTTTTATTAAATTATATCCTCCAAGCTGCCAGTCAATGAAACACTCACTGCTTGCATCCTGTGAAGACACCTTCATATCTACTGAACTGAATTTTAATTATAAAATATCTGATCTCAAAAGTTAGATCAAAATAAGTACAAAAGCAATTGAGATGCAATTAAGAAAAGTTAAATATTAATGGACTCTCTTGTTTTAATGTCCTGTATTAGATTGCTGCAAATGTTTTATGCACCATGTAACTTTAATTGCTGATCATTGCATCAGTTAACACTCAAACTCAAGTGCATCAACCACACAATGCATGTGATTTTTGCTGAAAAATTACAGCACTGTCTCTCAAGATCATATATGCAAGCGAAATCAGGTATATCCAAGCTACAGACTCTTTGCTCTGCCAACAGTCACCTTGAAGTCAAGGCTATTCAGTACATTTTGCATTTATTTCTCATGTATTGATTTAAAAAAACTTGAGCCTGGAAATCCAGAAAGGGTTGATTTTAGCATTACAATCTCAATGGTGGGTGAAGTAAGACACTAAACCCTGCCTGTATCAACAAGTGGAGATATATAATAATTAATGTGCGCTTAGATTTCTATGTCTCCTGAAGCTCAGTGGTGCGCACACACGGGTCCAAAGAAAGAAGTTGGTGCAATCCTGGTGGTAAATGAGACAAAGTACATCTAGTAAAATGCAAATGGAAACAATTGCATCAAAAGTTTATTGTGCTAGCTAGCACGTAAAAGCACGTAAAATAATGTACACCATTTACCAGTAGTCAAGCCAAGGTTTTCTGCAGTATCAAACAACACTGGTGCAAAAAATTCAAATCCAGCAACCCAGGTGACCACAGTGCCTGGGAGAAAAGTTCAATTGACATGAAATTCTGCTGCGGAGTTTGGATTCATAAAGAATGCTCAATTTCAGCCTTAAGCCACTTGCATCACTGTTCCAGTCATAATCTTGTGACAATCAATGGCTTAATCATGTACGTTCAAATGTTCGACACAAAACATCCTGAGATGATAAAAGTTCATCTTCAAGTCCCCTGATCTCACCAGCTCTGCACGGATCCAAACCCAGAAGCAAAAGATGGGATTATACTGCATTATAATAGTACAGTACACCATCACTAGCTCATGGAACATGTACCACAAATGCCAAAAGTTACAACTATGGTCTAGTTTTAAGCAGCTTCAAACAGTAATGAAAAAAAACTCGAGTAAAAATGCTGCTCTTAGAAGTATGAACTGAAGAACAACACTGGTCAGCACAGTAGTCAACAGTAGAGCAGCAGCTCTAGCACTAGGATCCAGATATTTTACGAACAACCTGTTCAGAGATGTTATTACACACATTTGGTGGTACAGACACTACCACTGCACCACAACAGTCCTCAGTACAACTAGGCTCCAAAGTGATCTTGCTTATGTATCTTCTCTTCTTCACAGAATTGATTACAAACAAGTCAAGAGGAAGAAAAGGATGTTTCAAGGCACCACCTGTGTTGGTCTTAATTTAAAATCCTTTTGAGACAGCAAGAAAAGAGAGTCAACATATCACAGCAGCACAGAAAATGCTGCAGTGCAACTGCTGTCATCTTTAAAGTGAGATGTTAAAATAAGTTCACTCTCCCCTTCCAGGTGATGGAATAGATCCCACTTTAGTATTCAAAGAGGAGGCGACAAGTTCTCCTTATGTTAAAAATAATACTTAACCATTAGCTAACACTTCTATAGCAGAGTAACTGGTCAATCACAAACTGTGGGAGCCTGCTGTGTACAAATCACCTGCTAAATTTCCCTGCAACACTTCAGAAGTGCACAACTGGCCGACAAGTATTTTGGGCTATCATGAAGTTGTGAAAAAATAAATTGCTGTATAAACTTAAGTTCTCCCTCCTTATTTTTCCTTTCAATTTATTTTTCAAACCAAGACGTGGAAACATGTAACTGAAGGGACTTGAGAACTCCTAAACAGGACAGTCATTGGCCAAAGTCACAGTCAACTTTTGTCAAAACGGACGCAGACTTGGTCATTCCAGTTTGTTTGCAAAGTCCCAATTCTTTATGTATCTGGTGCAGAAACTCTTTGGAATCATACCACAGTGACAAAGACATACAAAAGTGCTTTGCCTCCAAGTTTCCCCAGATAATCATCCAAAATAGTAATAGATATTGTCAATTCTTAGGTGACATCTTTGGACATACAATTATTTTTACTGATATGAAATTAAGTTCGAGGTCTACCACAAACACCACACTAACTAAAACAAATTAAGACGCACATCATTCTGCATCATATATAGCAGTAACCATCATTATATTTTAAAAATCTAGCTTCTTTTTTAAATTGATTCATGGGATGTGGGAGTCACTGGCTGGACTAGCATTTATTGCCCATCCCTAAATGCCCAGAGGGCAGTTAAGAGTCAACCACATTGCTGTAGGTCTGGCATCACATGCAGGCCAGGTAGGGATGGCAGATTTCCTTTCCTAAAGGGCTTCAATGAACCAGATGGGTTTTTCCTAACAATTGGCAATCATTAAACTCTGAATTCCATATTATAATTTGAATTCAAATTCCAACATCTGCCACGGTGGGATTCGAACACAGGTCCCAAGAACATACCTGGGTCTTTGGATTAATAGTGAACAATAATAGCACTTGGCCATCACCTACCTAATAAGCTTCAGATACCTTTTTCTTATGCCATTGCCCTGATGGCTGAGCAAGGTGGAGAAAAACATCAAGATTCCTAGACTATATCCAGATATTCATATGGATGAGGACTGTATTCCTCCCAAATTTGGAATCATGTGACATCAGTTATGGTTAGCTGGAGAATGGCCACTTCAGTGAGTCTCTGAAGTACATAGCGAATCCATGAAACATTACCAGAGGATGAAATACCACCCCCAGGAGGAAGAAAAATGGATGGAGGATGCAAAAGGTCTTGAAACTCTCTGCAACCAATGAGCATCACAAGGGCTGGAGTGCAATGTCAAGTTTTTTTTTGATTAATGCTCCTCCAGGAGTTGTTAGCACTTCAAGGAACCATTTAAATACGAGTTGGTGTAGCTACATAGTCGCTTTGACTGGCAACATCATTTCACTTCTAACTTTTCTTTCTATTTTTTTTAAAATCAGCTGTTCCCCTCTAAAAAGGATTTGATTTTTGAATTGAGGAGAGCAAGAAAGCCATTGCCTCTTTATGGGATTTAATTATAATAGACAAAAAAAGCTTCAAAGAACATTGTGGGAAATCTCTGATCAAAGCACAAAGCAGCCCTGTTCAGCTGAAGAACTGTATGTCTAACCCATTCAAAGAAAAGTTGCTAAATATCCTGAAGAAATCCCTCACGTTAAAAATTAAACAGAAAACAAACATTTAACTGGAACTGCAAAGCTTACAAAGCCTAATAATTTCTCTAACAAAAAATCCTAAAAGCAAAATTAGTGAAACTGCATAATACAGTTGTTTCAACTTCCATAATTTGAACTGAAAATACGAAAAGGAATGCTAATACATTAAAATCAAATTGCGAAACAGAAGCCCCCAAGCTCTTCAAGCAATTGAATCACACCGACAGGTGATCTTTAGCGCTTAGGCAAGAACGCCTTACTTTTGTTTTATTTATGAAGTAACTCAGCTTGACCTTGATTTCCCTTTCTCCGCCCAAAAATTAATTTTTAAAAGCAAACCCTATTCCCAATTGGGGGAGTGACAGTCAAGAGAAAGAGAGGGGGTAAGATCGAAAGATCTTGGTACAAGAGACCCATCTGCACCAAAGTTAACTTGGGACAGAGAAGTCGAGGGGGAAACCCATTCCAGTTAATGCTTTACAAAAAAAATTAGACAAGTGCCAAGGATCAGTTCTGCAAAACGAACACATTTTTTTTTTGGAAGCCATCAAAAAGGCAAATAAAACATTTATGAAGATTATAGGAAGAGATTTAATGTTTAGAAAGAAGTTTAATATTTTAATTATCTACATCCAGGGAGTCCTTACTTTGGGACGGAGAAAGGGAGCTCTGAAAGCACAAGTTTAAATCCCCACCCAGCATCAATATTTCCAAATCAGTTTAACAATATAATTTTAAGACCTGAACACTTTATATTTAACGATGGTAATGTCTGGTGGATTTACCTCTTCTGTTGAGGGGACGAATCCTCACGGCCACTTTCACATTGGACTCGGACATGTTGCTGACAGAAGGCTTGAAGCACCAGCTCAGAAGTTTAAAAACTTTTTATTCCCTCCCTCAGTTTTAAAATGATTTGATAAGAGAGCTGCGAAGTGGTTCAAGAAGGTTTAAAACGTCGACAGAGCTGGCGACGACTCTCCAACTCGGCACACAGCTTCCACTCCTCAAAATAAACAAAACTTATTAAATCAATTTATTTTTTCCCTCCCACTCTCTTTCTTTTCCTCGCGTGTTTCACCTGTTTCCCTGCCTGAATTTGAAACGATGATTCTTCGCCATGACAGCGGTAAGCTCGAGCCGGCAGGGGAAGTCGGTGACCGCAGAGGCAGACGGTGGGAAGGAAGGGGGATGGGAGGCGGGGAGGGAAGGAAGGCCGGCTTCGGGATATTTCGGCACTTTCCGGAAGGAGCGCCGGTGGGTGGGCGAAGACCGCTCGGCCAAATCCGGAGCACGACCGGGACTGCTCGACGGGCCGGGAAGTTCCGGGGAGCGGAGACAAGGATCGGCAACGTCCGGAGAGCGGGGCCAAGGATCGGCGATTTCCGCTAAGCGCGCGAAGCGTCGGTAATCTCCGGAGGAAGCTCTGGAAGGATCGGCAATTTTCGGCAATGCTTGAACGGCGGAGCGAAGGATTTACATTTATATAGCGCCAAGACGCAATGTCCCAATGTACACCTCATGAAATACATTGTTTTTTTTTAAATGAAGTGAAATGTAGATTGAGAGATGGTGCAAAAAGACTTCCAGGAGGTATTGATTTATTTTCTACAATTCACACAAATGATCATGAGCACATGAATTATACAGCAACAATTGCATAGCTCAAATATGTTAGTATTTGCGGATTGTCGTTATGTTTTTGGAAGGGAGAGGGAGGTTGTAAGGATTTGCTCAGGGCCTCAGTGGGAGTTGGGGTGGGAGAGATAGTCAACGTCCCCAAGCTTAAATTTTGCGGTCACATGCTTTGAGACAACTAACATTTTCACCCAATTTGAAAAATGAGGTCACATTGGAACATAGTTTGAGTAACACTAGATTAGTTTAAAAATTGACTTCCCTCTAAGGAGGGAGGGAGAGAGGGAGAGAGGGAGAAAGTTGTGAGGTTTGGGCTTGTACTTGTTGGGGTTCAGGAGACTGAGAGGACGCCATGTTGAAACATATAAAAGAGACTCTCTTTGGGCACAGTGATAGTGTCCCTACCCCTGGACTAGGAGGCCTGGACACAAGTCCCACTTGTTCCAGTGGTGTATAATAACATCTCTAAACAGGTTGATTAGAAAAATTAGGTTAAATTAAAAAAGGAAAAATAATGAAGCATGTAAGATTCTTAGGGAGCTTCACTGGATAGATGCAAAGAGATTGCCTCCCTTGGAGGAGAGTCTACAACAAGGCAGCATAATCTCAGAGTAAGGAGTTACCCATTTAAAACAGAGGTAAGGAAGAATTTATTTTTCTCAGGTTGGTGAATCTCTTCAACACAGAGGGCTGTCGAGGCTGGCTTGTTAAGTATTTTAAAGACTGAGATTTCTAATCATGAAGAGAGTCAAAGGTTATGGAGATAAAGCAGAAAGGTGGGGTTGAGGATTATTAGATTAGCCATTATTTCAATGAATGCAGTTGAACTCAATGGGCCAAATAGCCTACATTGCTCCTGTATCTTATGGACATATCAACAGGAAAAGGCTGATTAGGCCTGATGGGAGTATTGTGACAAATTCTGTATAACACATTTCCTAAGGATTGTGAATGTATTATAGAGGATGAAGAAAAAATCTACAAGAATATTTCCAGGGATGAATGGCCTCAGTTACATGGCTAGATTAGAGAAGTTGGAGCTGTTTTCCTTTGAGAAGAAAAGTTTGAGAGGAGATTTCTTGGATGTATTCAGAATGATAACAGGCCTGGACAAAGTAGATAGGAAAAAACTGATCCCATGAGTGATTGTCACGGTCAAGAATCAGAGTGCATAGTCCTAAATTGAATAGCAAAACAATGTAAAGGCAAAATGAAAAAAAAGTCATGCATCATTTGGTTGGGATCTGCTATAGACTGCTGAGAGGGTGGTGGAAAATGTAGCTTTCAAAAGGGAAATGGATAATTATCTGAAGAGAATAAAGGGGATACGGGGAAACAACAAAGGAATAGGACTAGCTTAACTGATCACACAGAAAGCTGGAATGAATGAGATGGACTGAATGGCCTCTTTTCCTGCTATAACCATTCTATTTTTAGGTAATGCAGCAGTCAATTTGTGCACATCAAATTTGCACAAACAGCAGTATGATATTGACCAAATGATCTCATTTTTTAGTGATGTTGTTTGAGAAACCAGTCTGAAACACCAGAGCTGACTTCTCAGTTTTGAAATAGTGGCTGTGAGATCTCGGATGTCTGCCTAAAACATCAGACATTGCCTCAGTTTAACACCTCAACCGAAAGGTGGTACTACAACACTTCCTCAGGACTGCACTGAGTGCAGCTTAGATATCTTTGCTCGTCTCTGGAATGGGACTTAAATTCACAAATCATTGTCCATTGAGTTATAGTGGATAATTTATTTGCTTCAAGTTTATAACAACAGAAAATTGGAGAATGTCTGTGCTTTGAGAGGCTTCGTGTACATTTTTCACTCAGCAGGTTGATCAAACGGGCTCACAGTCTGCACCAACCAAAGAAAAGACCCTAGAATTTCAACAATTTCAGCACTTTACACAATGTTTTTTTTAACAGATCCGTCCTAACTAAATTCCGCCTCCAATTAGGCATCACTGTCTTGGCAGCTCAGTTCTGAATGCTAGTTACACAGGCCCAGAAGGTCGACCAGGAGCCCACCAAAACTCTGTGACAGGGTCTGGCCACAGGGGGATGTACCACAAACAAGAGGTCAGAGGGACCCAACTGAAAGGTTACATGCATATATAAAGCCTTTAATGTCAGAAACATCCTGAGTCACTTTAGCACCAGAAGGAACAGAACAAAAGGCAAAAGGAACTGAAACAGAGTTGAATGCTTACTGTCTCACTTTGTTGACATAAACCTGAAGGCTATTCTTACAGGATTCGTATTGCTTGACTGATTTCAATCTTCCATTATCACAGTGGGGTGCCTGTCAGATCCCAGTTTGACTGACGGTAGGAAATGGTTGCAAACTCTTTGAAGTGGAAATATTAATTCCTGTGCTTGTTTTTATAAGGAATTAAAGGAAGTTAAATACAGTGAATGGGTTTTTACCACTCTAAGTGGTCCAGGACTCTAAATGTACCCATCTGCTTTAGAACTCTATCATGTACCTATCTGGTCAAGAACTTTAGAATGTATAGGTCTGTTTTTCTTTGAGTATGCCATAGAATATTTCATCTCATACACGAGAAGGCAGGCAGGGCCTCAATTTAAAAGATTGTCCTGTGCAGCACATTGTCAGAGGTACAATCAGCCTAAATTGTTGCCCTCAAGTATCAGAATCAGAACTTGAACGAACTTTTGTCTGCCTTACAGATGAGAGCACTACCCATTGAGCCATCATAAAACAACAGAGTTATGAAGAGTTATGGGGTGGCACAGTGGCTCAGTGCTTAGCACTGCTGCCCCACAGCACCAGGGACCCGGGTTCAATTCCACCCTTGGGCGACTGTCTGTGTGGAGTTTGCACATTCTCCCTGTGTCTGCGTGGGTTTCCTCCCACAGTCCAAAGATGTGCAGGCTAGGTGGATTGGCCATGCTAAATTGCCTGTAGTGTTCCGGGATGTGTAGATTGGGGGGGAGGTGGGGGGGTGCTCTGATGGTTGGTATGGACTTGTTGGGCCAAAGGGCCTGTTCCCACACTGTAGGGATTCTATGAAATCAGAGCAAATTTAAAACTGAAACAAAATGAGTTGGGGGTTATGGGTGGCAATGGAATGAGAAACAAAGAAAATGCAGAAAACAAAGTAGAGGGCTTAGTAAGACATGAAAATGAACAGTGGCTTGACTGGGGTAAAAAAAAAAAGTACATCATGAACATCTGAAACCATAGAACTGGAATGTCTGAAAAGGGTTGCACATTTCAGTGCCTGTTTCTTATGTTCATCCTTGAGTATATAAAGACACTGATTTAACCAGGTTTGCACACAACAGGAAACAATGACACTAATTGGCATGGGTGATGAATAAAGCTGAAGCAACTGGTTAAACCTCACTGCAGGCAGATTAGCATAATTGTCAAGCAATGTTTTCTGTCAACTGGATTTTAAATTTTTCAGACTGTTGTGCAATAATATATTAGAACAGTGGAAATGACATTAAATTCAAGGAGAAGTCAGGATGATGTTACTCTCCATGCTCTCATGGCACTGGAGGTCAGATTATAACCTAAAGTCTTCCAATTTTAATGTAAAATTAAATAATTTTATGTACAGTGGATACTGTATAGAGAAATTGATATGAAATATCCTTGCTTGCATAGTGTGTAGCCGACTGCAACAAGGAAGGCAACAAAGGTTCCTTAGACACAGACCTGGATGAATCTGTAGTGCTGCCTTTTCTGCCACCTAGTGGTTATGTGAGCAGCTGCAACAATGGCAAGGATATTTGAGATTTCGCCTCCCATGATTGTGCCCATTATCCTCACACCATTGTTTTGTTATTTAATCTCTTTTGGCTTCCATCCATCTGGTCAAGAACTTTGACCAGATCTTCTTCTCCATTCCTTTCCTTCACATATCCCCTGCCATTTCCTGTTTCTTTTTATTTGTTCAAACCTAATGTCCAATTTTGCATCTCAAATAAAAACCAAAAGAACTGCGGATGCTGTAAATCAGGAACAGTTCTGAGGAAGGGCCACCGGACCCGAAACGTTAACTCTGTTTTTTCCTTCACAGATGCTGCCAGACCTGCTGAGCTTTTCCAGCAACTTTGTTTTTGTTTGCATCTCAAAACTTTTCCAGTTCTCACGAAAGATCACTGACCCGAAATGTCTGCAGTATTTTGCCTTTGGAATATGAAGGATCAACTTTATTTACACAAGGCTCTACTTTCTGATTCAGCATTGAAACCAAAACCTGGCTTCAGAACTTTTAGGAGTTTGGCTTTGAGTCATTTATAGCTGAGTTTAAAAGGACAATTACCTTCCTATCATCAGAATGAGGTGCAATTAATGTTTAAGTAGTGAAACAAGGTTGTGTTTGAACAATATCACAATGTCTTGCTCTGTTGTCGGAGGGAAAAATATTCAGCAGGAGACATCAATGATACCAACCTCATCCTTTTTAAAAAAAAGTTTGATTGGAGTGATAATAACAACTGCAAGGGAATATCTGCCTTGATTTTGCTGGTCAGGCATTT